AAACAAAATGCACATTTTATGTGGTACCTCACTCATAGTAGTAACTGTGAGATGGATCTTGCATTCCTAATGGACAATCATTTAAATATGAGCCAGAAATGTGCTGCAGCTTCCAGAAAAGCCATCACAGTTCTAGGCTGCAAATACAGAGGGATAGAATCAAGATCACGTGAAATGATAATACCACTTTATAATGTCTTGGTAAGGCCACACTTGGAATACTGCATCCAGATTTGGTCGATACTGTTGCTTATTTTTCTTCTTTTATTTATAGGCCCAATAATCAGTATGCAAGGTATGAAAGATCAACACTGTTCTATTTACATGTTTTCTACCACAGGAGATCATCAGACAGGTGAAGTGCTCTGACAGGAACATCAGCTTATCTATACAGGAGGCAGAGCCAAAAGGTAAGGAGGAGTCAGGGGGAGGGATATGATACATTTCAGAGTTTAACTTATACACAGGCACAATTACATAAGTACATATAGTTAGGTATTTTTCCTTGTAACAAAACCCCCTCTAAAATACTTAACGGTTAAATGAATCTTTTGTTTTTATATTTATACATTTAATTTTGAAGACAAATAAGCATGTTGATTAGTTGGTAAAGGTTTTGTTAATATATCTGCAACTTGTTCATGAGTATCACAATGTGTGGCTTTAATGAATCCTATATTGGATAGTTGTTTAACATGTTTATATTTAATATCAATATGTCGTGAACCTACTGCTTCCGATGTCAATATATCTATGGCAGCTTTATTATCCTCATGGATGGTTATTGGATAATTGGGTTCAGTCCAGATGTTGGATAAAAGGTCATCGAACCATATTAAATTGTTATCAGCTTTTGAAAGACAAATATATTCAGCTTCCGCTGTAGAGGTTGCAATCAAATTCTGCTTACCAGTGTACCAGTGTACAGGACAATCATTTATGAGGAAAACATACCCTGAAGTGCTTTTTCTACTTTTTGTGTCCCCAGCCCAATCCACATCTGCATAACACGTTAAGATTGGTTTTTCTGAGTGGACAGGTTTTAAATACAAACAAGCATCAGCACTAAATTTAAGATACCTGAGGATTCTTTTTATCCCTTCCCAATGATAATAATTTGGGTTGTTTACGTGTCTAGACAAAAGATTAACAGCGAGAGTAATGTCTGGTCTGGTCCAATTGGAGATATATAATAATGAACCAATAACAGATCTGTACAGGGTGTTGTCTTTAAATGGTTCACCTTCGTTGTTCATGTTTTTTGTGAAGTCTGTTTGCATAGGAGTCTCACATGTTTTAGAGTTCATCATATTGCATCTTTGTAAAAGTTCTAATATTTTTTCTTTTTGAGATAATTTAAAACCTCCCCTTGTCTTGTCAATCTGAACACCCAGATATTTATTCACTTTCCCCAAGGTTTTCAAAGTGAAATGTTTGCTCAGTTTTTCTGCGAATTCGTCACACCTGTGCTTGTGTTGGCCAAAATATAAAATGTCATCTACATAAATAAGTACGTACTCTATAGAGTCGTTTGTTTTTCTAATGAAGAAGGATAGATCTGTTGATGTAGCTGAAAAGCCTGTCTTTAAGTGTTTTTGCTAAGCATTCGTACCAACGTTTTCCAGATTATTTTAATCCATATAGACTTTTATTTAATAACCATATTTCCCCTTTTTGTGTATCTTTACCCAGGGGAGCTCTCACATAGATTTCTTTGTCAAGGTTGGCGTGTAAATATGCTGTTTGACCGTCAAACTGATATACAACTAGATTTAGAATTGATGCTATTACCAGGGCACTTTTGACACTCTCTGATCCAATAGTAGGTGAATAAGTATCTACATAATCATCAGGGAACTTCTGTGCGTATCCTAGGGCAACTAATCTGGCTTTGTATAAGAATTTACCGTCTTCTAATTCTTTAATTTTAAATATCCATTTTGTTCCAATGGGTATTTTACCCGCTGGTGGTTCTGCAGGAGTGTATACGTTCAATTCCTTTAAACTATCCATCTCTTTCTTTATTGCTTGTTCCCATTTGGCCCTCTCTTCCTGTGGTAATTTTAATATTTCTTCGTATGTGCTAGGTGTTGTTTTGTTGGCATTAATGGATAGTACGTAGTCTTCCAACCTTTTGGGCATTTTATTTCTATTACATCTGATGGGTCTATGGGGGGATAACTCAGTATTATGCATGTATTTAGCTTCTTTTTCTGTTAGTTTGTCTACTTATATGACAGGATGATTCTTTTCCATTCTCTAGTTGTTATCTCTTGAAGTTTGGGTTTGTCTATTTTTTGTGTATTGAATTTTGTTGCATATGGTGTGTGTTCTTTATGTGTGTCTGTTGTGTTATCTGTTGTGGGGCATAAATCATTCAGATGAATTTTGGACCAATTTGCATGTTCATGAAATACAGCTGACCTGGAAATGATGAATTTATTATTTTTGTCTATGAATCGGTATCCTTTAGTCCCCGATTCATATCCCATGAATCTTAATCTTTTTGATACTTTCTCACCTTTATGCCTTAATTGTTTTGGGACGTAAACATCTGCGGTAACTCCAAAAATATGTAGGTGACCAATTTTGGGTTTTCTGCCGTACATGACCTTGTATGGTGTTTTACCAATCACGCTGGACCATAACCTGTTTATGGTATAATTTGAATATGTGAGTGCTTCAGCCCAAAATATTTGTCCTAAACTGCATCCTCCAGTACACATCTAACCATGGTTTGCAACAAACCATTCTTTCTTTCTATGACCCCATTTTGGAATGCTGAAAAAGGACAGGATTTGAAATGTATGATCCCCTGTAATTTTAACCAATTGGAGAATTCCTTTGATAAAAATTCTGACCCTCTATCTGTCATTATTTGTTTGATTTTTATGTTGTGTTGCGTTTCTATTCTTTTGTGAAATTCTTTGAATTTCTTAAATACTTCACTTTTATGATTGAGTGTGTATACAAATCCAAATCTGCTGAAGTCATCTACTATAGTTAAGTAATACCTTTTTCTGTATTTAATTGACGGTTTCATGGGACCAAGTAGGTCCATATGTACTAGTTGGAATATTGAATGTGTGATGCGAGTGGCTTTTCTAGGTCTAGGTTTGTTTTTAACTTTTGAAGATTTCCACACAGAACACTCTAAGTAATTTTTGCAACTTTTTACTTTAGCATCATCAGAACATTCTAACATTTTCTGGATAATGGGGAAACTAGCATGCCCTAGTTTCCTGTGGAATATTCACATTCATCGTGTATTGGTTTGCCACATGACATCTTCTTATTGATAGTGTTATCATCTGTATGACCTTCATTCATGTTATTCTCAAATTTCTTATGTGTGTCAGTTTTCTTTGTTTTCTAATTCTGTGATTGCACATGTTAATTCATCACCTTCAGATAGAAAGTATGTTAATCCCCCTTTGGTAATAGTTTTGCCTATGTTCCTTTTGTCTTTGGTTATATACACTTTTCCATTTTTGAATGTGATTTCTATTTCTTTTTCCTCACTTAATTTATGTATAGCTAATATATTATGTGGGATTTCGGGTATAAAAAGTACCCCCTCTATTCTTCCTAAGCCTCTAATTTACATTATGGTGCCCATTCCTTTCACTAGAACTCTATTTTGGTTAGCCACTTTGACATAGTAATTCTTTTCTGTGAAGTTGCTAAGGTGTTTTTTCTCATAAGTGGTGTGATTTGTAGCTCCGGAATCAATGAGCCATGTATTATTCGACTCTGTCTTAGGGTTTTCGTTGTCTCCTAATCCAAATAGTGAACCATATTTATTTTCCCTAGAATCATCTCTGTATCTTCTTTTATCTTTTGGATTGGGGGATTCCCTATATTTATATCTATAATCTGGTGAATGTCTGTCTAAGAGATTAATTTTCTTACCTGATCTTTCCCTGTGATATGAGTAGTCCCTATCCCTATTATTTTTTGGGCCGTCTCTTTTATAGTGATACTTGGAACTGCATGTGTGATACTCTGGTGTATATCTACTCCTGCTTTGGAATTCTACCCTCTTTGTGTTTCTATTTTCCCTGTGATCCATGGAGCGCTTCCTCCTTAGATTATCTTCCGCTATGAGTTTGCTAGTTAGGGTTTCCAAGTTGATGTGCTCTAAATTGAGACTATCTAATAAAGTTATATAGTTATCCCAACTGGAATCCAGTGAATTAATTATTATGCTCCTCATGCTGCTTTCAGAAATGTTTTCTCCCCATTGGATAAGATCAGCCCTAGTGGCATTTAAATTCAAGATATGCTCACTCATGGTTGTTCCACTCTTTAACCTAGCAGAGTAAAACTCCCTGGATATTCTTGTTGTTGAGGCAACACTCTTGCTATGAAATAAATTAAATAATTTTTGGAATATTTCAGAAACTGTCAGATGGTGGTCAAGACTAGGATATATGCTGGGTGATATAGTGGCAATGAGAATATAGTAAACCTTATGATGTATACAGTCCACTTCAACAGTCCAGGGCTTGCTGGGAGGATTGGTAATTAGAAATAACATATTTTCTCTTAAATATATAACTTGGAGTTGTTGACTCCATTCCAATAAATCAGTTCCATCTAATTTTAATTTTATATGTTCTGTTCGTAAAACCCCTGAGTGGTGTGAAAAATTACTCACTATCTGCTGCTGTCCATGGTCTAGGTCATTAGTGTACTCACAATATGGCATTGGTATAGTAGGTGTATGTCTGAACTGACTTATCTATATGTTCTCTTCTTTTTTTATAGATGGGGACTGCGCATGCTCAGAGCTTATTTCTGACTTGCAGTTGCCGGAGAAGGTTCCTGTGCTTGCAGCTCTTGTCTGAAGGCCCCAGTCAACATGCTGAATTCTTGCCTTTGTCTCAGTAGGCTCCAGATGTTTGGCGTTCGCTTAGGAAGCCATCTGGATTGTCGGAGTGTCTTTGTAGCCTTGATGATCTCCGTGGCCCCCTTGGAAGATCCGGCAATCTCGCTTTGCCGTCCGGTCGGGAAGCAGGGTCCATTTCAGATCATCATCTGGGTACATAGACTGTACAACTCGTTCTCTTCTCTCTGGTAAGTATGATTCTTTCTTTACATTTTCTTGGCTGATTCTAGTGGTCGCCGGGTAGTAGTTTTCAGCTGGGGGCGGTCTATGTCTCCTTTCATAGAAGGCAGTTTCTTCTTCTTAGTTCAGCTGTATTTGTGTAGTATACTGGTTTAATGTGTTCCTCCGGGCTTTCTGGTTGTGGACCCGGTAGTTTAAGTTTTTTTCCGAATGCCGTGGTTAGTACCTGCATCGCATTATTTATCTCTAGCTCGGAAGGCGGGCTAGAGGAATAGTTTCTCAGTTGTTCTTTATTAGTTTTAGGTGTAGGATTGTAGCTTAGTTTGTGAGTCCCGTTTCCCGCTTTGGGATTTAAATCTTGAGACCTTCTTGGTCGTTGGTCGGCCATCTTTAATGGTGTTTTTTTCAAAGATGGCCACCATGAAAAAGGCATGAAAAAGTCGCTGGCTTCATCAGCAGCTGTCAAGCAGTTAGTGCTTGACTCTCCTGTTGTACTTTCTTCATCCTGATGGTATTCAGTCTCCTTCTTATCCGTCGCTGCTCCGTGGTCTTTTATGACATTGCGGAGTTTTGCGAACAGGTTAGGATTATTCGGAGCTGTTTCTATTAATTCAATTATTTTCTTTTTAGCGTCATCTCCTTTTTTGATGACTGAGAGAGTATCTTCATTTTCAGTCTGTGTTTTCTTTACATCTGGCAGGGTATTTGTGTTAAGGAAATGCCTGTCCTTCAGTGTGGTTTCTGTAGGAGTTAATTGAGCTGCCATTCTTTTATTAAGCAATCTGGTGATAGGTCTTCTTTTTACCTCAGTTAGAATTGGCATCTCTTGCATCTTTTGGTTGATTGGGCCTTCTCAACCATCCGCTGCTACCATTCTTGTTGCTTATTTTTCTTCTTTTATTTATAGGCCCAATAATCAGTAGGCAAGGTATGAAAGATCAACACTGTTTTATTTACATGTTTTCTACCACAGGAGATCATCAGACAGGTCAAGTGCTTTGACAGGAACATCAGCTTATATATACAGGAGGCGGAGCCAAAAGGTAAGGAGGAGTCAGGGGGAGGGATATGATACATTCCAGAGTTTAACTTATACACAGGCACAATTACATAAGTACATATAGTTAGGTATTTTTCCTTGTAACAGATACAATGTAAAAAAGATGTTGAAAGTCTAGAAAGAGTGCAGAGAAGAGCAACAAAGGTGATTAGGGGCAGTGGTGAAATCCTCTGCAGTCTGCTACTGATTCTGTGATTCTGCTACCGAGCATGTGCTTTGCATGCACATGCACACTGCGTGCATGCATGCGTGAGGCACACCCGCACAGCACTAAAAAAGAAACATTTTTAGGCCTTCTGAGTCTGTAAAGATAAGCAGAATAGCAAGGGGGAGGAAATCCGCTATGCCACACGATTTAGATTAGCTAGAAAGCAGGAAATCTGATGATTCTAGCTAATATAAATCATGTGTCACAGCTGATCGTTGCCCAGCTGATCGTCGGAAATACTGGTTTGCCCGAACCGGTAGCATTTTTTACTACTAATTCAGGAGAACCTGTCTGAACCAATAGCATTTCACCCTGATTAGGGGACTTGAGGATAAAACATATAAAGAATGGTTGCTGGAATTGGTTATGTCTAGTTTAATGAAAAGAAAGACTAGGGGTGACATGAGAGCAGTTTTCCAATATCTCAGGGGCTGCCACAAAGAGAAGGGAGTTAAGCTATTCTTCAAAGCACCTGAGGACAAGACAAGAAGCAATAGATGGAAACTAATGAAGGAGAGAAGCAACCTAGAACTAAGGAGAAATTTCCTGACAGTTAGAACAATTAATCAGTGGAACAACTTGCCTTCAAAAGTTGTGAAGGCACCAACACTGGAAGTTTTTAAGAAAAGATTGAACAACCATTTGTCTAAAATGATATAGGGTTTCCTGCCTAAGCAGGGGGCTGAACTAAAAGGCCTCCAAGGTGACTTCCAACTTTGTTATACTATTCTATTCTAATAAGGGAAGAGGCTGTTAGAATCAGCTTTTTGAACTCTGCCATTGTGACTAGTCAATGGTATGTGAAATTTGCAATTGCAGGAGTGCATGATGTATCCCTAACACACTTTTCGCCTTTCCTTTTGGATACAAGAAAAAGAGGAAGCCAGTAATTACTTACTCTCTCTTTGCTTACCATCAGATAAGAATTTGCAGACTGAATTTGCTGATGATTACCAACAAATGAAGCTTTAAGTTGTATCTTGGCAAGACTTGATCAAGCACCTCAGTAGCAAATTTCTATGCACAGGAGTTGGTACTCAAAGCAGTGGGCTAATATCTGGAAATCTGATGCTGGCTGAGAAAATCTTTCCATATTTCAGATTTATAGTGCAGTAGTGTATAGTGCATATATAGTATATATGTATAGTATAAATCTGCACTATACACTCTTGTATAGTGTATGAGCTTAAACATGTCTAGGTAATTATATAAAACTACCAGAAATTGTCTTGGAAGCACTGTTTCTTTCGGAATGAAACTGGAACACTTTTGATCTGCTCTTTTGATTCATGTTTGGCAGTCAGTGGAGAAGGAGTGGCAGATAAAATGACTTTGTTGTCCAGTTCCCATACAGAAGGCTTATGGTTGTTGGCCTTGTCTGAACTATAATGTTCAGTCAAATCAGAATGCTATATTTTATGGCTGTCCTCTTGACAGCTTTTGTCTGAAGGCTTTGTAGATTTTTTTCAAATGATGGAAGAAAGCTAAACTATGTCCTGTTGCACCTGCAGCCATAGGCTATAATTATCTGCACTTTTAAACAATGCCTTATGGGAACCATTTATCCAGCATGTTGCTGCCAAATCCTGTTCCTCTTACAATTATAGGGAAAAAAATGAGGCAGGTTTCCATAACAGATGTGTCTAAGCATATTCTTTTCACTGTACTTTCAGTTTATTAGGACAAAATCAGTTTTGAGATTCAAATAGTTCATGCAAAATGAATGATGTATATCACAGTAAAAATAGTTATTGGAAAATATTTTTAAATAATTAGTGCTTTTCCTAGTTATTACAAATAGTATGTGATAATGATATATACATAGCTATATTTACAATGTTAATATGAAAATATAGTCAGTAATTCTAGTCAGTCAATTCATTCATTATGGTCCAATTTAAGGTCCATGCATTGAAAATAATCCAAGATTTCAGTCCCGTTTATTGATATCTTCTAACCTCAAAAGAAACCCCTGATTTCTAAGTAAACGTAGGATTTTAGTCTTGTATGTCACATGAGCTGAATAGACTTACATGTGAATAAAGTTCATGAATTGGCTATATGTCTATTGTTCATCCTTGCCATATTAGAACTATTTTATTGAAACTCTGACTAATCTGCCAATAGATAAATATAACCTATCACCACCTATTTCTTAACTTGCTTTTTTCTTTTTTTCTTTTTTATTAAAAAGTTTTATAAGAAATACAAACATTTTCTCCCACCCAGCATTTCCCCCTCCCCCTTTCCCCCCACCCCGCTCCCTAGACTTCCCAGGACAGGCACAGGGTATAGCATTCACAAACATAAAGCTAAGATATGCTAACAAATTATTGCATTCATATTCTCCCTAAATCTTTAACTCTTTATAACTCAAGAACTATAAACATAAACTTAAAAATATTTCATTCATAAGCTATATGAATCTTCTTGTTCGGATACTTTTTTTGCATATAGTCAATCTATCTTCTCCATTCTGATATGTATCTTTCATTTGAATGATCTTTAAGATATGATGAAATTTTTGCCATCTCAGCCAGATGCACAACTTTTAATGTCCATTCCTCAATGGTAGGTGGATCTTCCTTCTTCCAGTACTGTGCCACCAGTAACCTGGCAGCTGTTATTAAATTCAAAACCAACTTAGTCTCTATTACAGTACAATCCGTGACTATTCCCAACAAAAAAAACTGTGGTGTAAATTTAATTTTTTTCCTTAAAATATTTTGAATAATACACCATATTTTTACCAAAAAGCCTTAATTTTTTTACATGTCCACCATATATGAAAATATGTAGCATCTTCACACTCACATCGCCAACACTTGGGTTGTAAATTTGGATACATGCAGGCTAGGTTTTTTGGGTCTAAATGCCATCTATAAAACATTTTGTAAAAGTTCTCTCTTAAGTTTTGAGCTTGTGTGAATCTTACATTTCTAACCCATATCTTTTCCCATGTATCCAACATTATTGGTTCACCTATGTTTTGTGCCCATTTTATCATACAATCCTTGACTAGCTCTGTTTCCGAATCTATTTCCACTAATACATTATACAACCTTTTAATATACATTTGACCTTTATCTCTTATTTGCTTTATCAAATTCTCATCCTGCTGCAAAATACCAGTTTTTTGATCCTCTCTCCATCTGGCCTGCAGCTGACCATACTGAAACCAAGTCTTAATAATTCCTTCTTCTCTTAATTGCTCCATAGATTTTAATTGTAATCTAACTCCTTCCTTATAAAGGAGTTCCTTATATGTAAACTTATCTTGCTTTTGATCCAAATTTATATTCTCTATCGCATGTCTGGGTACTGTCCATATTGGTAATTTATCCTTTAGTTTATATTTATACTTTTTCCAGACACGCAGTAGAGCAATTCTTAATATGTGACTTTTAAAAGTCTTATCTACTTTCTTGTCATACAATAGATAAGCATGCCAGCCATAGACCATATCCTTCAATATTCAGTATCTCTTCCTCCGTTAAATTTATCCAATCTGTAATTGCTGAGAGGGTAGCAGCTTCATAATACAGTCTTAAATTGGGCATTTTAAGACCACCTCTTTCTCGGGTGTCTTGCATTATCTTTTGATTAACTCGTGGTTTCTTCCCTGCTCACACAAATTTGTTTATGCCCTTCTGCCATTCCTTCAAATTTTCATCTTTTTAAAGTATAGGTATCATTTGAAAAAGAAATAAAAATCTTGGTAAGATATTCATTTTTACAGCGGCTCTCCTACCTAGCAAAGACAGTTGCAATTTCTTCCAATTTTCCATCTCTTGTGTATTTTTTGCCATAACAATTCATAATTATGTTGATATAATTTCATATTTGCAGTCATAATATAAACCCCTAAATATTTAACCTTCTTAACTATTTCAAATCCTGTTAACCTTTCTATCTCTTCTTTCTGGCTTCTGTCCATGTTTTTAGCTATTATCTTTGTTTTAGCTGTATTTATTTTAAAACCAGATACTTGTCCATATGAGCAGATTATATCCATCAAGGCTATAATCAATTGTACCAGTTGGGCTAAGGTAACCACCAGATCATCCGCAAATGCTCGTAACTTATATTCATGCCGTCTAATTCTAATTCCCTTTATTATATCAGTCCCACGTATTTTATTTAATAAAATTTCCAGCGTCAAAATAAACAATAACGGAGACAAGGGACAGCCTTGCCTTGTTCCTTTTTCTATATTAAAATTATCTGTTAAGCCACCATTGATTATTATTTGTGCTGTTTGTTTTTGATATATTGCCTTAATAGATTGTGTAAAATGTTCTCCAAATTGCATCCTTTCTATTAGTTTTAGTAAAAATTGCCAATTCAATCTGTCAAAAGCTTTTTCAGCATCCAAAAAAACTAGCACTGCGGGGACCTGGTTGTTCCTTCCCAAATACTCTAATAAATTAACAATTTGCCTTACATTACTTTTCATTTGTCTTCCATTTATAAAACCAGTTTGATCATGATGAATCATTTGTTGCATAACTGTCATTAATCTGTTTGCTAAAATTTTAGCAAAAATCTTATAATCTGTATTTAAAAGTGAAATCGGCCTATAGTTTTTAGGATCCGTATGGTCTTGCCCATCTTTTGGGATCAGCGATATAAATGCTGTCTTCCAAGTTGGAGGTACCTCTCCTCCCTGTTGTATATTATTGAATAATTCCTTCAGTGGTTCCACCATTTCCTCCTGTAAACTTTTATAATGAATAGCTGTCAAACCATCCGTTCCAGGAGTTTTACCCACTTTC